AGTTTATTAGGCCAATAGATACGGGTGATAAAAAAACCTTCCTACGGATTTATCGAATTCGACGAGAAGAAAAAAAAAAGGATAGAAAAAGAAATAGAGAAAATACTCGTGTCTCTTTCGTGTGTTACATAAAACGATCGAATGTACCCTCGCAATCGGCACGTCTAACTGACGTTATTTACTTACGCTGTGCCGTATTATGATCGTATCAAAACACACGCAAACAAACAAAAAAATGAAAAAAAGAATGGAAAAAAAAAATACTCTAAGATCTTTCAAAATCAAACGTGAGATAACTAAATCGTACTCCTTTTACTTCGACTCTAGATACTTCGATTTTGATAGAACTCGAAGAGAAATAAAGCAAACATAAGAGCATCATTTGGAATACTTCGAAAAATATTCAATGGTAAAAAGATATACATAATAAATCGACGATTCGAATCGAATAAGAGTCTTCTATTACAGTGAAAATATATAATATTAAAAAGAATTTGATATTAAAAGTGTTTTAATATTACCTAAGCTTAGAATCAGAAGATAAAAAAAAATGTCTAATATAATAAGTAGAAAAGTTGCTTGTTAAATCTTTAGAACGTAGAAATGATTGAAAATACAAAGAATATAAGGCTTTTACTCGATATTAGTTAATTGTCGCTCTCTCTCTCTCTATCTTTCTCTTTATCTACCGTTATCTCTCTTACATGAACACTCATAATCTTGATAATGAGATAGATTAGAATTTCATCAAAGAACATCGCTTCGATGCGCTTCATTAAATGTTCTCCCTTTGTATTAGCGATGTAGGAGACCCGATTTAACTCGTGTGCGTTCGTTACTCCATGTGTGTACACTTATACGGATTTCTTGTGCATGTCCCTTGTCTTACTACATGGAATTAAATTTACGAGACGGAAATGCACCGCTAAAAACACATTTTCCAAGAGAATCCTTTTCCCTTATATATAGCCAAATCCATCACGATTAAAATGTATTACACAATGCGTTCTTCACTTTGTGATTTAAACGGCTCATAAATAAGGAAATATACGTGATGACGTTGGAAAACAAGTCCTTGAGTGAATCAACAAGACGAAGTAATGAGGTTTTTCAAACAGAGTCAATTTCCTTTTTATTACACTCGCTTTCTTAGTAGTCTGAAACTTCTTTTTTCTTTTTCTCCTTTTATTTTTTTTTTTTTTTTTT